GAGTGATTTGTACTAGAAAGGAAAAGGGGAAACTGAGTCCTGGTGTGACTGAGCAGAGGTGCAGTCTGGCCTGGGCTGACTCGGAAAGATTCTGGCCAAGAGCACAGGTGCTGAGACATGGGGCTTGCGATCCAGGAATAAAAACTTGTTTGGACGTTTCAGAAAACGAGACACATACCAGGGTAGGAGGCGATTCTCCCCTTGATTTCCAAGCTCCTGCTGGTCGCCCATCCATTTTCCTAATGCCTCTAGTCTGCCAAGTAAGTGCCACAGGCATCTCTCAGGAGCCAGGGCCAGCAGCATTTGCCGTGATGGGGAAATCACAGTGAAATATGCCCATTCTTAGCCCATTGAGCACCTCCTGGCTGGCATTGGGGGGCCATCTAGCCTTCCTATGTCACCAAAACAGTCTTGGGGAGACTACGCCTAAAAGGCTCTGGAAAGGAACATCTCTGCCAGGTGGGTGCTCCGTGAATATTGAAGAGAGAATAAGGTCTCTTTGCTTTTCTCTTGACTATTTTTAAACATTTTTATAGAAGTCATACCTGGCCAAGGTTAAAAATTTCAATAATGCATAAGGGCTTGCTTAAAAATAAAAGCAGCCCTGGCTGGCATGGCTCGATGGTTAGAGTGGAATTGAACCTGGGACCCTTCAGTCCACAGGCCGACACTCTATCCACTGAGCCAAACCGGTCAGGGCAGTTGCAGCAATTTTAATACTTTTTGGAAATGCTTTGTTCCTAAAGTATCTGGTATTTATTTTTCCTTATGTATCATCTCCCCTCTCTCCCTCCCCCCTCCCCCAATTTTATTGAATGATAGAATTCAGGAGTCAGAGAGACCTTAGAGGCCTGAGCCATGTTCTAGAGTGGCAGTTCTCAAAGTGTAGCTCCCTGACCAGCCAGGATCTACATCACCCAGAATATGTGAAATGCAGAGTCTCGGGCCAGAGAGAGAGAGAATCAGAAACTTCTACGGGTGGAACCTGTATTATAACAAGCCCTTCAGGAGATTTGGATTCATGTGCGATTTTGAGAACCAATGATTTCAAACATAAAAGTAAAAAAAATGAAGGCTCTAGGATGGAATGAGATTCACATCTCAATCCACTCTGATCTTATGCATGTTACTTACCCCTTAGCTTCTGCATTCCCGTCTCTAAAATGGGGTTAGTAATAACCTCTCTGGGGCTAGGGTGTGAGTTAATATAAAATGTACAGTAAGCACTTAGCATTATGTGCCTCCCACATAGGAAGCAGTCAGTAAATGGTTTGTTATTGTTCTTACTATCTTCCTAGACCAGATACTATCTTTTTAAACAGCATTCCAGACAGATGGCTATCCGTGAGGAGGGAGTTCAAAAGCTCTTGCCCATTCCAAGGAGTGACAGCTGTAGCTATGCATAATTTCATATACTGAGAGAGCTGCCTTCCTATCATTTCCATTCTTAGTTGGAGCTCTGCTCTCTCGAGCCTTTGGAACAAAACTGTTCTACATGGCAGTTCAGATATTTGAAGATAGTGACCTTGGCCATTCTGAACTTTGTCTTGTTCTTTTCCCAAAGATTAACTTAAACATAAAACAGAGTAGATATTTGAAACCATTAAGGCTTTTTTTTTTTTTTAAGGAAGTAAAAAGGCCTCTCTCCGAGACTGCTTGGGTAGTGGGGTCTTTGGTGATTTCTGTGTGTAGACATGCCCCACAGTTTAAGGTTAAAGCTCTCCCGGGTGGACTTGTGGGCATGGAACAGACATTGTGGTTGGGCTACTGTTGGTAAGGCCTGTGCTTCCTGCTGGCAGGTGTGAGCCAGTCACCCCTAGAGTGTTTCTGTGTGGTCCCGTGGGTCCCAGGACACCCCCCCTTAGAATCCAGCCCCTCTGCCTGCAGCACCCCAGCCCTTTCCTGCTCTGGTCTGGGCTCATTGGCTGCCCATGCCTGTCAGGTGTCCCGGTTCTCACCTGCATCCTCACCCATGTCACTTGATGGCACTAGCCCTCCGTTTTACTAACAGCCTTCACGGCGTTCGAAGTCTGCTCTGTGATTTTTGTTTTTATTTAATTGATGTCTAATTAGTAGTTGTGAAAAGTTGTGCTGGCCAAGCAAATAATAGCTTTTCTAAATTATGTTATGGTGTTGTGTAGGGCAGCGGTGGAATTACTATTTTAAAATGGGATTTCGTAAAGTAAACATGCATCCGCATTACAGGAAATACTAAGTTGATGATTAATTGATGCTGTGGAGCTGGCCTTGCACTTTCAAATGCTTCCCTTTTGGTTATCATGGATCTAGGGAGGTTTCGGCAGCCCATACCTCTGAAAATCTGCAGATAACTAGTTTGCACTTGTTTTCTGCCCTGTGGTGCTGGGCAAGTGGCCATTAGGAGACAAGGCAGAGGACTGCTCTGTCTGAGCTGAAGGTCAGGGTTGCAGAGATGATGGAATGGCCTGAGGCTGTGAGGGTCTGAAGTTGAGAGAGTGCCTCTCCACACTGGGGCTCCGGGAGGGCAGTGCGGGCAGTGCGGGCAGTGCGACATTGTCAAGGACTTCGGAAGCTCCTGCTGCTCGTTTTCTTTGTATTGGAGAGGATGATAGGTCAAGAGAAGACTACCTAGGAAATCGTTTTTTCAACCCAGTGGTGAAGCCTTGAGCCTGCTGACACATACCCACCCAGGGCTTGCCCAAATGGGGATGGTTTCATGTATAAGCATGTGATATGCGTCACTGGAGATGTGAAATAAGTAGGAAGTTTAAATACATCTGTGAACAGTTTAGAGAAGTCACTGAGGAAAGAGACCATTGTAAAATTACTAACTAGAGATGGAGCACAAGGTCCAGCCCCTGGCCTCTGACCTTTGGGTTGACGGCAGGGGGGGATGTACCATCTACAAAGCTACCAGAATGCCGAGGGCCAGTGGACTTTACTCGAGTGTGGTATTTCTGGGAGGAAAGACTGGTCTGGACTTCAGCCTGGTGGATAAATGTCAAGTGACTTCCGGAACAGTGTGGACACAGAGGATGGGAAAGGCCCTGGACTTAGACCAGTCTACCTCTTCCCCGCTGTGAGTGTGGGCCAAGGCCTTTCTGAACCTCATTTTTCTCGTTTGTTATCCCTTCATTTAGTATCTCCTACTATTGGGGACTGAGGAGTCAATGGTATTATCATTCTTTAATAAATGAATGAGGGTGGGTGGATGCAGGAAAGCACTTTCATTCCAAAAGGGGGCGCGGGGCAGTGGGAAAGGTCACCACTGAGCCGGGGTACATCTGGAGCCTCAGGTTAGAAAGTGTCCGCACCTCTCTCACCGAGTGCTGTGATGGCAGCTCCTTCATAAACTAGACATTGCACCATAGGGTGAATTGGGACCGATCCATTAACCCCCTTTTCTCTGGGGTGAAAGACCGGTCTGCAATTAACAGCTTTTAAGCCAGGGAATTGGTGACTTTTGCTTCTGTGTTCTTCAAAGTTCACCTGTCACTAACCTGGGGCCCCAGGAACAGGCAGACTGGCTGCTTTTATCTCACCTGATGGGTCCCTCTTCAGAGGAGCCTACTAACTGACTGCAGGGCCTGGCCCTCCCTCCACTGCCTACACTGCCTTCTGGTGTGTGTGCAGTGGTAGCTCAGGGCACTGCCTCAGTGCCCCATCAGCCGGCCAGAGCTGCTCGAAGCCAGTCTTCAGAAGGGACCGGGATTGGTTTGGCCCTGAGACCCCGTCTTGGTTTTCACAGGGACTTAATTGTCCTTTAGACGGTGATGTAAGGAGCTACAGTGGACTTTCCTTCCCTGGAAGGGGAGATGGAGTCGGTGGACGGTGCTTAGAATCTACTCGGCCAAGGGGTGAGAGTGAGGTGGGGGCCAGTTGCTCGGTTGATGCTTTATATTCTTCTTTACTATTTAATTGAATTTTTAAAAAGTATAAAAGAAGGAAGAAATAGAAACTAAACTAAGAATAGAAAAACCCGTATTAGGCATAAAAACAAAGGAAGACATCATAAAGAAAATGACTGGTCTTGAAAACCTAAAATTTTTAAATTATGTACTTTTTTAAAAATGTAATACACAAAAGTAAGAGACCAATAACAAAAAGGCAAAAATGTAAATGTTTATAACATTAACACAGGCAATTGCTTAATATTCTAAGACTTCTTTCAAGTACAAAATGAGAAGAACCACTCTTACAGGAAAATAAACAAGAATGTGAATAGGAAATTCACAAAGTGAGAAATACACACTGCCAAGAATCTGTTATACTTACTAGCTATCCAAAAAAACATAATTGTGGGTTATTTCTAACAGTGAAAACTTGGGAAAACCTAAATGATTAACAATAGGACTATTTTTAAAGTTGTTACATCCTTTGATGTCTTTAAAATCATATTGTAAAAAAAATAAGAATAGTTAATGACTAGAGTAAGTTCACAACATACTAGTAGTGGTAAGTGAAAAGGGTGGGTTAAGAGAATATCTCCCTTTTGTTAAAAAAAATTTTAATTCAAGAGTATACATCAAACTGTGGACAAAGTTATCTTTGGCTGATGTATTTCTATATTATTTTTATTTTTTCAAAATCAAGTATTTTAAATTTTTAAGTGAAAAAGAATATGGGGACCCTGGCTGGTGTTGCTCAGTGGTTAGAGCATCGCCCCACGCACTGAAGGGTCAAGGGTTCGATTCCCAGTCAAGAGCATGTACCTGGGTTGCAGGTTTGATCCCTGGCCCCGGTTGGGGGGTGTACAGGAGGTAACCAATCAGTGTGTCTCTCACATTGATGTTTTTCTCTTCCCTACTCTCTCCCCCTTCCTTCCTCTCTTACACTCTCTAAAACTCAGTGGGGAATAAAAGTAATATGGAGGAAATAGGTTGAAGCATCTAGGAAATTGCTTTAGCCCTTTCCCCTCTCGGGGAAGGTGCCTCATGCTCTCCCCTTCTCTCCCCGAGTCTGTCCCCTCAGTCTCTGCTCTCCACTGCCTGCACCTAAGACACCTGCTTGTTTCTCCTCAGGACTGAGCACTGAAGGCATCTACCGGGTCAGCGGGAACAAGTCAGAGATGGAGAGTCTGCAGAGACAGTTTGATCAAGGTAAGGCCACAGCCTGCTGAGCATCGGAGGCCGGAGCCAGTCAAGGCGACCACGACAGCCAAACTGCCAGTGGAGCCCCTTGAGGGAGCTGCAGTTCAGCCCTGGGGGTGCTCCTGCCACACACAGCCCCAGAGCAAGAGGTGCTGGCTTGGTGACTGAGAAACAGAAAGCATTTGGCCCCAGTTAGGACCGCCTCCATGGTCACACTGCCACAGAGGAGGAACAGGCCCTGTCAGCAAACGGAAACATCCCCCTGCCAAGCCTGTGTCAGCCCATCACCTCCCACAGACACTGCTCGGGTCACCCTGGCACATGCCTCCTTCACCACTGGAGGGCCTTGCCTCCCTGGGACTGGGCCATGCAGGCGTAATTACATGCACATGATGTAAAGTTGGGTTGAGAAGACAAACTTATTTTGCCAGGGCCCCTTCCCACAAAGGAGTGCCCCTCTCACAAAGTCCCTGCATGAGAGAGAAAGCAAGGGAACATTTTATGCTTAGCTGAGCCCTGGGACTCAGGCTTCTAAAGCTGAGCTCTTGTGAATTAGACTTGCTCTTAGCGGGACTCCCGTCTCCTGAGCTAGGGCAGCTCTGAGAGGCCAAATCTATTTCACCCCAACGCTCGGCCAAACTCTGCCTCTTAGCACTGAGCGTTCTGTGGAACGAGAAGTCTCACCCACCGGTGCCAGAGCAGATGAGCCAAAGCCATCACAGTTCTCAGATGTCACTGGCCAGGGAGGGAGGTAACCTAAGGATCAAAGTAGGGTCAGACTAAACGCACGGCTGGGCCTGAGGGGACCAAGCCAGGCTCAGAAGCCAGGCAGCCTGTGCGGACTGCGTGACAGAGCAGCTGCCAGGGCACAGCCGGGAGCAGGCTCCCTGCCCAAGCACCGGGGCCATCGCACTGCAGCGCCACAGTCGGTCTCTGCTAGTGGCCCGTGGGGAGAGGTGACACGAGAGAAGGGACGCACGTTCATCTTTTGGGCTCGGAAGCATGAGGTCCACATGAGGGTGTTGCCACGCCCTTGGGTATGCACTTGTACCGTATACACAAGAATCTGTAACAGCTTATCCCCCCAAAATGGGACCAGCTAATGACTCTCAGTCGATGATTTCTTACAAATCAGGAGTGCAGTCAAGTCTGAAAAGAAAAAATTAGAGACCGAGGTCAGTGGTGTCATAAGCTGAGGGGCCAGAGGGAAAAGAACGAGTCTGTCCTACGTCATAAGGGATGAAGATGGGGCAGCAGTCAAGACTGTTGCAGGGTATTTTTTTTCTTTTTTATTGAATTTCTTGGGGTGACAATGGTCAAGATTGTTGGTAATGTGTTTGCAACCCACCATGAAAAGTGAGCCAGCTTTTTAGGAAAGCCCCTTCCTTTCTTCCCGTGGAGGGATGGGTGTCAGGAAAAGGGAGCAGCACGTCCAGGCGGACAGAGGGAGCTCACTGGATGGCACAGAGGAGGGGGTGCGGCTCCTCCTCACAGGGTGACCTTGGAAGGAGGTGTTGGCTGTCGGCCTCTGCGAATCTGAGAACCTTCTTTTAGCAGCACCAGGGCTGCTCCTGTCCAGTCTGTGGTCATCCTGAGGCCCTGCCCAGGCTCCAGGCCAGCCCTGGGCAGCACCCCAGGGTCCTCGAGGTCTCCCTGACTTCCCCCAAGCACAGGGTTTTCCTTTTGCTTCTGCACAGCTTAGATCGACCTGGCCTCACTCTTCCAACTTCCTTTCAGACCACAACCTGGACTTGGCAGAGAAAGACTTCACAGTGAATACCGTGGCTGGTGCCATGAAGAGCTTTTTCTCAGAGCTGCCTGACCCTCTGGTCCCCTACAACATGCAGATTGATCTGGTGGAGGCGCACAGTGAGTACCGGCACCCCAGCCTGACTGCATTGGGCACCCTGAGGGAGCGGGGAGGGGGCAGCACCATAAGAATGGGTCCTGCCGAAACCGGTTTGGCTCAGTGGATAGAGCGTCAGCCTGCGGACGAAAGGTCCCAGGTTTGATTCCAGTCAAGGGCATGTACCTGGGTTGCGGGCACATCCCCAGTGGGAGATGTGCAGGAGGCAGCTGATCGATGTTTCTCTCTCATCGATGTTTCTAACTATCTCTCTCGTTTCCTCTCTGTAAAAAATCAATAAAATATATATTTTTTTAAAAATGGGTCCTGCCCTCGGGGGCGGGCACTGTGGCTCTTGGAGATGAGATTTAAGGACATAAGGAAAGGGAACTAGGTGACACCAAAGGGACTTGCAAATGAGGCTCCTGCCTTTGAGGACCAGAGGTTCTTCTCCGGGGGACCCCCAAACTACATGAGTTAAGAGCCCAGTTTGGGTGTCAAATTCGGATTGAATCCATGCTCCTTTGCTGGTGCATATTGTGATGTTCTCTGACCCTTCGTTTTCTATGTTGCTGTCCCTACTCCTGTTTATGAAATGAGATTAGGAAAGTTATAGAGGCGGGGCTACAACAGGCCGTTAAGAGGTAGATGTTACTTTCCTTTCCCTGCCTCTCCCTCACGCCTCTCCTCCTATCACGCCTCCTTCCTGAGGGAAAGGGACAGGCCAGTGGCCCAGCTAGATGATCACTTGGGGCTACAGCAACTTAGCACCTTGTTTTAAGGGCCATCTCCGCCTGCATCTCCTCCTGCTCTCCCGCCTGCCCTGACAGCTGTTCCTGCCCCGGCCTGCCTCTCTAAGGCCGGGCCTTCCCCCTGGGCAGCCTTTCCTGGACTTGGTGTAGTTCTGAGGAGGGGACCTGACCTCTTGGAGCTTCCCACGTGTAGCACTTTCTACTCTTTTTAGCCAAAGGCAGCCTTCCTAACTTGTACTTCTGGTAGACCAAGCCCAGAAGCAGCCATTGCTCTGCAGCAGAAGGAAGTGTCTGCCAGTGACCAAGGGGTGCCATGTTCCTCAGACCCCAGGACATTAGTCTCATCTTGTCACTGCCCAACTCAAAGGAGGGAAGATATTGTTGTTGTTGTTTTGGGGTTTTTTTTTCATTGATTTTAGAGAGAGATGAAGAGAGTGGAATAGAGCAATAGAAACATTGATGAGAGAGAATCATTGACCAGCTGCCTCCTGCACACCCCCTACTGGGAATCAAACCGGTGACCTCTCGGTTTAGGGGTCAGCACTCAACCACTGAGCCACACTAGTGGGACTGAGAAGAGGGAGTTCTAAGCAAGCACATTTACTCACAAGGCTGGTATGACAGAAATTTGAGGGAGGTCTCAAACCAGCAGAGCTTTAAGTTCTGGGTCACAGACTCCTAGTGGCTTCAGTGACTAGAGGTGCTGGCGGAAGGCCACCCCTGCGCTGCGGAGGTGCCCCTGTCAGGACCTGACTGCTGCAGGCCCAGGGCCCCTGCATCACCTTCCCATGGTCTGCGTGCCCCGTGATGTTTGTTTCCACCATATTTTATCCACATGGTCCTGCCAGATGAAAGTTGTTTATAGCTCCTAATCCTGCCCAAGCCCACCAGGGATGGGGCAGAGTTCTGGGATGTCATAGCTCATCTGGCCTTCTTTCCCATCTGCCTTCTCAGGACAGGAGTCGGGTTTCTCCAGATGACTTAGGGGTGGGGACAGGTGTCCGCTTCTTCTTTGATCCTGCATCCTGATAGAGGTCCTCCCAGCAATCCCTGCTCCAGCAGACTCCAGGCTGGCCCTGATGTGAAACACGTAGGAAATCTCCACTGGAGCCAGCTTTCTTTCAGCCTGGGCTTGTCTCTCGGCTGAAGTTAGGGAGAGGAGGCATGGGCTGGTACCCAGCTTGCTAGGAGCTAGGGGGATTCCTGACAGCATTTGTCTTGACCTGGCGCCATCTAGAGGCTAGTAGAGTCCTGGCACCCAACAGAATCCCATTGTTTCTGTGGGAATTGCTGACATAGCATTTTTTTGTTTTTGGGGGGGTTGGGAGCAGGAGAGGGAGGTGTTATTGATAGGCAATCAGCTGCCCTTCCTACAGCAGCTTCCGCAACTTCCAGTGCTGAGGAAGGGAGCTTCTTGCTGCCACTGCAGCCTGGAAAAGGGTGGAGATTTTCTGCTTCCTCTTCCTATTGTGTTTCCTGTGCCCCCAGCTAGTCAGCTGGGTCTCTGTCTTGAACCTGGTTGGGGGGAGTGACCTGGCACCTCTGACAGCCAAAGCTAGCTGAGTGAAGAGTGGGCTGTGAGTGTCAGGGGTGGGTAACTGAGCCAGAGACAGCCCCAGGCAGTACCAGAGTGAGTGTTCAGGGACATGGAACAAAGATTCTTAAGCCCAAAAGTAGCTGTTCCCAGCCTGGCTGGGTTTCCATGGCAACATCAACTTGACCAGCTCTTTCCACTTAATACCTAAGAACCGTTGTGTCTGTGTGTATTCAGGGCTTGGAAATGGTTTCAGATCCCATCACAACAAATACCAAGGTCACTATCAAATTGTTTTGTTAGCTCCATAATTTCACAATATTGGACATGCTGAAAATGTGCCCACAAAATAGAGATTTTTGTGATTATTCACCAGTCATCTTTCTACCACGTTCAAGGTGATGTGTGGGAGATTGAGAAATGAAGAACAGCATACCGCTAGGGAGTGGCAAGCTGAGGCTTGACCTTCGGTGCTGAGACATTGTCCCTGCCCTCCCCGCGTGCACATGGGAGCTGTTTGCCAGACAGAATGAAGCTAGCTGAGCTGGAAATGCAGAAAAGGCAGTGGTGGAGGAAGTAAGGAGAGCGCTTCATGGAAGAGGTGGCATGAGGCAGAGAAAACAGCTTTGACTTCCCCATTCCATCTCCTCCTCACACCTCACCTCAGCATTCCAAAAGTGTCATCAATTATTCTTGCTCCACACTTTCTCCTTGACCTCCCACAATACCCGTGGCCCCACCACCTGTCTGGTCCACCCAGTGCCACACAAGCACTGACCTATGGCTCAGTCTCAGTGCAGAGGTTCTAAGAACCTTTGACTCCAGGAACCTATAACTACAAGTGAGATCCGTGTGCACATTTTAGTGCATAGAGAAGACCAGTAGCTTTCATCAGATTGTCAAAGGGATGTGTGACCCAAAATGGTTCAGGATGCAGCTCACCATCTTACCATCCCACTTACAGGTGAAACCGCATAGGGCCACAGATTCTAACTGACAGACTGGTCACCAGGCAGACCAGCCTCACTGCTCACTGGGCTCTTATTCACATGCTGCCTTGTGACGTTGCTCATCCTGGGATCCTGCTTCCTCTTGTCTGTCCACATAGCTGCTTAAGAGCATAGGGTTGTCCCTCACCTCCTAGCACGTGCCAGTCCCTGCCTCGGTCTGGTGGGACACTGAGCAGGCTACTGCGGGTTGTGCCTCCAGGAGGACGCCCTGGAGTCATTTCCTACCTGCGGGAAAGGTGGGGACTGCACACGGGTGTGCCTGCATGCCTCACCGAGGGGTGTGGCTCTGAGCTGGGTGTTGTCCTCTTCTGGTGGTGCCAGTGTGCCAGGTGGTCAAAGGTCATCAAGGATTTTCCTCTAGGCCAGTGGTTCTCAACCTTCTGGCCCTTTAAATACAGTTCCTCATCTTGTGACCCAACCATAAAATTACTTTCGTTGCTACTTCATAACTGTAATGTTGCTACTGTTCTGAATCATAATGTAAATATCTGATATGCAGGATGGTCTTAGGCGACCCCTGTGAAAGGGTCGTTTGACTGCCAAAGGGGTCGCGACCCACAGATTGAGAACCGCTGCTCTAGGCACTGTTGGGCACAGCAGATCCAAGCCTAGAGCCTGTTGGCAGCCTGGATGCCAAAGATGGCAGCAGAGTGGCACAACCAAAGCAAGACTGGTGTTTGAGATCAGGGCCCCTGGCACCAACTTATGTGACCTTAAACCAGTATTTTTACTTCTTTGAGCCTGGGGTTATCTGTCTAGCGTGAGGGATGCAATGAGCTGGTCTCTGAGGTCCACGGTGGCCTCTGGCACTCCCCTCTTCTTCCTCCAGAGTTCTGTGGTCTCAGTTGTTGTAAGTTGCCTGGTCTGGGTCCAGACTTTGTCTTGCCTCTCCTAGAGTGTCTTGCTTTCACCTGACACCTGGAGGGGGCACTGCAGTGTGGTGGAAGGCAGGTGCTCCAGAGCAGGTGTGCTGGCCCGGGAGACAGCCTGGGACCCTCCCCACCTCCCCCTCACCAGCCTGTGCCTTTGGCATTGCCTCTTGAGCAGGTTTGCTTAGCCAGCCTGTGGGGTAAACCCAGCCCCACCTTCACTCAGGTGGTGGTGAGGGCTGCACCGAAAGCGACTAAAATACTCGGCCAGCACTCCAGCATACCCGGCACTGAGTGAGAAATCCCTGGTGCCGGGCTGGCCTGGCGAGGCTGCCAGTGTGAGCCCGGAGTGGATCCCTTGGCGCTGGTGGGGCTTTGCTTGCCTGAGGGAAGTGAACAAGGTCGAGTCAGCAGGACATCAGCACGATGGGCCTTGCTTTTCATGTGGCAGATGCAGGGCCAGGCTTTGCCCTGGGAGGCTTCCTGGTGCTCTCCTTCATGGCCTCCCTCCTCCTCCCCCCACTCGCCTGATGCTCCTCCGCGTCATGGACGCCTGTGCCATGAAGCCAGTGGGAGAAAGGGAGCGGGAGCCCAGGAGGTGGCCATGGAGGTCCCTGTCGGGCACCTCACTGTGTCAGGAAGGAGGGTGGCATTCCTGGGTGTGGTCCATAATTACTATCAAAGCAGGCTCCGTAAGCCCCACCCTGCCCCTCCTTTTCCCCAAGGAAGAGAGAGGAAGCAACCCTCCTTGTTGCTCGGCGGATAGGAAGGGGGGGCATCCAGGGCAGACGGGGGCCTGGCCAGCCCCGTTTCCTGCCTCCAGCCAGGAGGGCGGGCGAGGCTGCCTGTAGGTGAAGGTGCTGCGGCTGTGGGAGGGCCTCATTCCTGCACACACGGCTCCGAGGGAGACCTGTGCTGAGCTCGCATCTCGAAGGGCAGGATGGTTCTACTGAGACAGCCCTGCACACGCTCCTCCTCTGGGAGCTGCTTACTGCTTTTAAGTAAACTTTTTCTTGAAACTTAACAGGAAAGGGTTCTGAAACTCAAGGCCAGAGACAAAGTGTGCCCTTGAGGTTGAACCCTTAAAATAAATCTTGGGTTCAGAGAAATGAAGCCGATAGTGGCCCCGCATAATTAGTTTCTGTGGTTTTGGGGGGGGGGAGGTTATTGTTGTTGTTGTTGTTTGTTTGTTTTTGGTCATTTTCTAACAAGCAAATGTTCCCAAAATACATATTTTTATCAAGTCACTCGCAGGTCAAAAAGTTTACCCAGTTTCATGCTCGTTGGCCTGCCAGCGAGAGCTCTCCACAGCTCGTCCTGCCCATCTCCGCAGCTTCCCGTCACTGGTATTCTGAAAGTCAGAGTAGCTCCCAGGTGCTTCTTGTCTGAGCTCTTCACGGGGGTGTCTTCGCCAAGGGAGGGAGGCACTGTCATCAGCCCTTTACACACAAGTGACTCAGATGTGTCACTTCCCCAAAGTCAGAGGCAGAATTCGCACCCAGGACCATGTGGGTCAGTACTTCCCAGCAGGTTCTCTCTGCACCTCCCGCCCTCCCAGCCGGCTGTTTCTGTTCCATCTGTTCTTCCAAGTCTAGCTTGAGCCAGACTTCTCTGCGCTGCCCCAGACCGACCCTCTGACACACCCGCTACTGCACGAGCTTCCTAAAGAACCCCGGGGTTTGGGGAGTCCGCCAGCCTCCTGGTGCAGGCAGACGTGTGCGTGGCTTATTTGTGGGGAAAGGGGCTTGTGCCCCCAAACCAACGAGGAACCATCATATTTCTTAATGACCCCCACCAGCCACCCCCCAATCCTCAGTGTGAGATCGCTGCCGTTCTTCCTGGGACGACCCTGCTGTAGGAGCTGAGTTCTGGAGTCCTGGAGTGAGCCTTCACTTACGAGCGGAGCCATCTGGATACCTCCCAGGCTCAGAGCACCTGTCCTGGCTGCCTGGCCCGGATGGCTCTGCAGCTGAGATGGCCCAGCCCAGAGAGCGAGTGGTCCCCACTTAGGTTCTGCAACCGCTCTGGGCCTCCAATTTCTCATCCTTGACATGGGTGACAGCCCTGCCTCATGGCTTGCGAGGGCACTGAGGCAGGCCTGGCGTGGGCCAAGCGTTTCCTCCTAGTGAGCTTGTGTTCTCTCCTAGCACGTTAGGGTTTCATGATGGGCAAAGGGGGCGGGGGGTGTAGACCCTTCGATGGACTGCCTGAGAAGCCCCCACTGTTTCCATCGGCTCTTCCTATAGGGGGATGTGTGGAGGGTCCTGTGGCTCCAGGAAAAGGACAGAGCCCTGCTTTTGTGACAAACTCCCTCCCTAGACAGTCGGTTGGCGTGGGTGGGTGGCAGCACTCACCCGTCTGGTCAGGAAGCAGGCAGGCTTTCTGCGTTGAGATGCCTGTCTCCAGGGGCAACCAGATGAGCAAAGAATGGTGTTCTTTATGGTGGAGCCTCTTTGGATCCTTGAGTCTCGGGTGGTGGGGGCCAGGAAGCTCCAGGCGCACAGTGCTCCCCTTCAGCGGGCGCCTGGGACCCAGAGGTGGGCCTGGCCCCGGGGCCCGAGCCACTGCCAGGTGTGCCGCCTTGGCACAGGCTCTGGGGGGAGAAAGGGGCTGGGCTTCCCTCAGAAGGTCCGACACAGCACGCCCTTGGTGGCCGCCAGCTGTCCGGGACCAGGGTCTGCTCTGAGCCCCGGAACACCCCAGCCTCAGCCATGGAAGTCTCTGGTTTTCTCTTTCCTCAGAAATCAACGACCGAGAGCAAAAGCTGCATGCCCTCAAGGAAGTCCTCAAGAAGTTTCCAAAGGAAAACCACGAAGTCTTCAAATACGTCATCTCCCACCTAAACAAGTATGTCGCAGGGCTTGCTGTTTGGTCTTTTCTCCGCAGGAATCACCAGTCAGGGCCAGGGAGCAGCAGAATGAGGCTGAGTGAGGCTCCCTCCGTCCCTCCCCAGCCTGCAGGGGTGTCGGTCCGCCTCCCCAGGGGGCGCTTCTGGCTCAGGCCCACCCCGGTTCTGTCTGAGAGAGGCCCGGGTGGCCCCAAGTGTGCCAACGTCCTCTCTCCAGTGTTCGTGTCCGTGGTGTGTGACACCTCGCCAACCCAGGCACTGGGAAAGCCGCCCCCCGTCCAGTGAGGGCAGGAGCTGCGGTCAGGAAACTGGTAACGGCACAGGTCCCAGTTTACCCGCATGGACTGTCTGTTCCCAGACAGACCTGGTTTCATCTCGGCCCTGGTATTCTGGGAGCTCTGGCTGGACACACACTCCCCATCTTGCACAGCCAGAGCATTGTCACCCACTTCGGTGGTCTGGGCAAGAGTCCTGGAGGCAGTCTGTTCACCCCAAGGCTTGTGGGGGGCCTCCCATGGGCCAGGGCCTCAGAGCCACCCCGGGGCTTGCCGTGTGGGGACACCGGAGCAGAGGACAGGGCACAGAGGGCTGTGCTTGCGCCTTTCCGTTCCCTGCTGTGGTGGGCAGGCAGAAGGACAGCCAGGTGACAGTGACCAGGGCACAGAGCGCAGGTGGGCCCCCTGTCCCTCAGAGTCTGACCGTGAATTTGGTGTCACCTACAGAGTCAGCCACAACAACAAGGTGAATCTCATGACCAGTGAGAACCTCTCCATCTGCTTCTGGCCCACCTTGATGAGGCCCGACTTCAGCACCATGGACGCGCTCACGGCCACGCGGACCTATCAGACAATCATCGAGCTCTTCATCCAGCAGTGCCCTTTCTTCTTCTACAATCGGCCCATCAGCGAGCCTCCCGGCGCCACGCCCAGCTCCCCCTCTGCCGTGGCTTCCACCGTGCCCTTTCTCACCTCCACACCCATCACCAGCCAGCCATCGCCCCCCCAGTCGCCTCCACCCACCCCCCAGTCCCCGATGCAGCCACTGCTCCCCTCCCAGCTTCAAGCTGAGCACACGCTGTGAGTCACCAAGTTCTGGGGCAAAAGGAAACCGTCTTCTCTCTTCGGTAAGGTGGGCTTTGGCCTGTACACAACCAGGCCCGCTGGGCAGGGGCGGGGAGGGTGTCCCCTCTTCCCTGTCACCTTCTCAAAACCTCAGCGGTAGCACCAGCCAACAGTCCACCATAGGCTGGGCTGTCAGATGCCCCAAGCCCAGCTCTCAGGCCTGGGGCTGGCTACAGCAGAGGCCCGGTGGGCCCTACCCTCTGTCATGGACCCCTTGGAGGACTGAACTTGTCAGGCAGCAGCCCCAGCGGCCCTCATCCGTTCACTGCTCCCTGACCCGCCTGCCCGCACACACTGGCCTCGGTGCATCGCCCACTGCTTGGACAGCCCTGGCCTTGGACAGCGGAAGGAGGAGGTTCCGAGATGCGGGCCACCCCAAGGCAGGGCTAGCAACCCCAGGGAACACTTCCCGTCTGTCCCTTCCCACCTTCTCTACGCCTGTCTAGCGTCCTCCTTGGGAACGTGTGGGACGGGGCTCTGCCACCCCGAGGTGCAGTGCTGAGGGAGCTTTGTGGCTGGATCAAGGGAGCACAGCTTTCCCCTCCAGCCCCACGCCCTCCCCTCACGGGCTTTGGGATACATTCCCTTTGCAGCCAAGGAACACTGGAAGGAAAATGGGAAAATCCAATAATTTTTAAAAAGAAAAAGGAAGACACTACCAGAAGAAAACTGCAGACCTCAAGATTCAGCTCTTCTCCCACCCCTCGGAGAGGCAGACAGGTGGAAGGTGGCCCTTCTCTGTGACAGCAAAGCCAGGAGGCCCGGGGCCAATTGCCTGAGAGCCTGTTGGGGTCTCACTGTCACCAGGTCCCCCTTTCCCCAAAAGATGGTTTGAGCCCTTAGTGGGCAGCGCGGGGAGACCAGCGGACCAGCCTGGAATTGGTCTGCCTTTGGACACACTACAGTCCTATGGACACACTACAGTCCTATGGAAACACTACTTTGTGTGTGCGTGTGCGTGTGCGTGTGCGTGGGGGGAGTGGTACGCCTGTGAGGGGGGGACAGCTGAGGGTGCAGGGGTGCACCTGGGGGTTGGTTTAGTGTGTTTAGAGTCATTTTCGTCCTGGGCCATAGAATGCCGCCAGCAGCGCTGCTTGTGGGGAGTGGGCAGGGTATGGTGATTTGCCGCCCACACTCATCCTTCATGCTCCCAGGCCAGCAGGCCGAGGAGCCACAGGCACAAAAGCCATCAGTCACCAGAGCACCGTGCCTGCCTGTCACACCACCGCCACCCCTCCCGCGGCCTTCCCCTCAGCTTCCTGGCCCCTGGGAGAACCCTTCTCACACCCACCTCTGCCCCACAACACGCAGTCTGCTAAGGCTGCCACCGATATGGCTGCCCCCACTCTGCAGTGGAGAAGCCTGACACTAAGGTACCCGAGTGTGCGGTAGAGGCCCCGCCCCGCATGCCACCCAGTCCTCCGGGTCTCTTTGCACTTTAAGCAGCACCTGTGGTCGATTCGAGGATGCCCTGGGTCACCTCAGCTGGGGGGCCTGACAAAGGGGTGCCTCGGAACAGTGTTCAGCCACCCAGCCCCAAGCGCTCCCTGTTGGCAGCGGAGGGCGGCCGGCCGTGGCTCCCTGACTTCCTCTGGATACGCTGGACGCTTCTGCTTTAGTTCTTGTGCGGCTGACTAGGTGCTGGGGATGGCTGGCTGCCCCTGCGAGTTTACCCCTCCAGGAACACAAGTCAAAAAGCAAACCCCAGGTACCTGCCTGCTCTGTGTAAGTGGTGGAGGGCGGTGTGACCTGGTTGGGGGTGCGGTGCCCGTGCTTCAGGTCGGGTGGGCAGGAAGACGATGGCAGTGTCTGGTTTTCACCCGGGTCGGCAGGCCAGGCCCCGGGCAAGTGGGAATCCTCCATGGAGTTAACGTCTCCCTTTTCCTAGGGCATCTCGCCTGCTCCCAGTCAGCCCTTCAAGGTATTGGATGCAGTTAAAGGGAAACCCTGAGGGTGGCCTGGAGCCACTGTGCCCTGTGTGAACTAACAGAAGGATCCGGGTTCCCTCCCATTGCCACACGGCCACCTCCCCTGCTGACACACTCCCCACACCACCACCTGCAGCCTTGGCTCTGCACCAGGACTCACCAGCCCCCACACCTGCCTTCCCACGCCACCCCATTCCTGAGACCTCAGAAGGAGGAGCAACTGCTTCATGCCCTCACCCTGTCGGGGGAGCCTCTGGCCCTGCAGCGCCCCCTGGCAGCCGCTGGAGCAGCTGCAGGGCTCTGAAGGTGTGCAGGCGGCTGGTGCCCCACTGAGCCACCGTGGGCAGGAGACTCCATGGGTTTCCTTTGTTTCTATTTGCTCTGCTAGCCCTGTAGCTCCTCTTGTCTGCTTCTCCAGGCTGACTTGGGCTCGAGGACATTTCTTGGTGGTTCTAACTTCCAGTCGGAGGTCTGCCTTCACACCAAATGGGCACCCTGGGGGGGGGGGGTGCCAGCGGGGAGAGCTGGGGTGCATGTTGGGAACTGCCTTGAATGGATTGCAACCCACAGCTCTCGGAGTTGGAGCGGCAGGCAGGAATTGGCCGAAAGGGGTCGGCCAGGGACATCTTGCTCCATGTCCCCCAGCAGGGTAGCCATGTGCCCAGCAGCTCTCCCCCCAGCCAGTCCACAAGAGTGTAGGTGCCATTCAGGGAGTGGACAGCCACTGGTCTGCGGCAGCAGTGCTGCCGGAGGGAGGGAGGGAGAGGTGGTCCACGGTTAGGAGTGTGGCTGTGGGTCTGCCTGAGTTGTTGGCTGTGCTGCACATCAGGGATCAGCATCTGTCCAGCCAGCATGCCCATCACTTGGCGTTGTGAGGAGGGATGCTGAGAGAGGTCCCCGGTACTGTTTCTGTGTGCTCTGCACCCCACCGCCACCTTGCTCTCCCTGCTTAAGACAGGAAGCATGCTTCTGGGAGAGTCTAGCAGAACGTGTGTGCCAGGTGGGCAGCAGGTGGTGTCCTAGCAGCATGCTGGCCGGGGTCCCAGGAGAACACACCTTTCCCTGTCCCTGTCCCTCCGCTCCGGAGGGGATGGGAGGCTGGAGGGAGACCTTCCCCTAGGTCACAGGGGTTCCAGCCTCAGCCCTGAAACTTGAATACAACCTGCAGCATTTGTAACCTGAAGTCCTTTCCATTGCACCCTGCCCACCCTCTCCTGTGAGAACACACTGCTGGGGGGGGGGGGGGAAGGGGGGGAATCCGAGGGAGAGCGTGGGCAGTGGGTGCGGTGAGCATGGCCCAGAGCCAAGGCTTTGACTTGTCCCCGGGCGGTCACAGCGCTGCGCAGACAGTTGCCCTCCTGTTGCTTGGCAGGTTCAAGCCGCTTATTGCCTCTTAGGTGAGAGGACAGCCTGAGCCCCGTGTGCCAGAAACCTGTCACATCTGGGGGTGGCGCCAGGGCGGGGCTGGTGTGAGGGCGAAGGCCACTCGGCTCTTCCCTCCGGGGCCACCTTTCAGCCGGCGCCTGCCAGCTCCCCGAGGCCAGCGGCGGCCGCCCCCGCTCGCCCAGCAGCCGCCCCCTGGCCGGCGCTCAGACAGCCGTGATGTTACACTGTCGATGTAGTGGAGCCGGCATAAGTTATTGTTTGCATAAGAAGAATCATGTTCCCTGTGTACATTCACAAAAAGGAAATGTCTGGATTTTATGGGAATAAACCTTGTTTGAAAATTTGGAACAGTGCTGCTGCCAGCTTATTTTTCTGGTACTTGTATTTTCACATGTTAAATGATCTTTATATATGTTGAATTAACAAATATTTTGAGTTTCCTGAGAAAAACAAAAACATTAATGGTATTGAAATGTGTTAGTAGTCTGGCCGTGTGCCCAAAATTCTGTTTTGCAGCAAAGTGGAGAACTGTATGTAAAGAAAGTATAACAGTTATTTCTTTGTACTTTAGGGGCTTTAACCAAGACATCCTCTAGCTGGTGTTAGGAATGTTTGCTTAATTCCCAGACTTTTTTTGAACACGTGGGTATGTTGAGGCTCCGGCCCGACTAGTGCATGGTCAGCCGCCACCCAAGGCTGAGGCATCTCGGACTGAGGTGTTTTTGTTTGGTTTTGTTTTTTAAAATCATGTATTTGCTACAAAGTATTGTACTTGTCTCAATGGGAATGGTGTAAAAAACTGAAAAGGCCTTATGTGATATGTATCATAGTTAATAAATCAGTCTTGTAAAAACCCGGCCTGAGAGACGTGAAGGCGGCCCCGCCCTGGCCCTGCAGCGCCCGCCGGCTGGGCGGGACCTGGCTCCGCCTCCGCGGCAGCGGCGCTCCCGGCCCCGAGCGGAGGGGCCAGGGCTCAGGCCCACGGAGCACCGGGTCCACCCCCTCCGCCCGGGGCTGTCCCGGCACCTGCCTGCATCGTCTGTAACGGAGCCGCTGCTTCCCAGACGCGACCTGTTGTTGCCGTTTATTCCGGGTGACTATCCCAAGCCCCGCCCACAGCCCCTCTGGCTGCAGGGAAGGAGAGGGAGCCTCTGTCCCCACCCTCACTCCGGACCGCAGGACCGGCCTCCCGGGATGGGGCTCGGCTGCCCAGTCTGCCTGGAATTCCCTGTCCTCACCCCCCCACCCCACAGCTCTGCCCAGCCGCTCAGTCCTCAAAGCTGCCTTCCTCTGGGAAGTCTTCCCTGACCCTCTCACACATTAATTCAATCTGTGGTTTTTAATCACTACAGTATACAGCTGGCACTCATGGGTGCTGACATGAGCCTGTCTTTTTCTCTAGTTCTTGATGTCTGAGTTGTGTGGATTTGTATGCGTGTATATCTCTCAGCCACAGCCACCCAAGTCAAGAATGTGGGGGGGGCAGACCTGTGGCTCCCCCATATGATGTCCCAGGATGCCCAACAAACCAAGTTTGTAGAACGCAGTGGTCTCAACCTTAACCTTGACTGGGGTCTCCGTCTACCAGCCGACCTCTCCCGTGTGACTCCAGCCCAGACCTCCACTCCAAGGCCGCCCTGATATCCACCTGCTGGTGACACTCTGCCTGGTGACCAGTGTGACACCCACAGCCTAGTCCTGGCCCCTGACTCCCAACCTGTTCACCCCCCACAAGCCAGACCCTGGAGCCCTCCACCCTTCCCTCCTCATTCCCCGCCACCTGATGGAACCTCACCTGAACATCTGCCGCCTCCTCGGCCTCCTCCCTGGCTCCCTCCCTCCCTTTTAGCTCCTTGTGGCAGCCAAAGGGAGCTTTTCCAATCGGACCTGGCTGTCACCCCTCCCTCATCTCCTTCCAGGGCTCCACGGACCTCCCAGGGAGCCGAGCCTCCCCCGGCACCCTGCCTCCCAGCCTCCGGGGGGCACGCCCACCTCAGGCCTTCGGACTCTTCCTCAGGGAGGCCCTGCCGGACCCCAGACCAAGATGGACTCCTTTGCTCTCGAAGAAAAAGAAATGTTCTCGTTCAAGAGCATTTTCTCAGTTTGTTCCTCCTTCAGATCGTATTAGCTCACTTAACACTTATTTCAGGAGCTGACATCTAGGGGGAAAGACAGGAAACAGGCAAAGCAATGACCGTGTATCAGTGTCCCGTCCCGGGCAGATGGGGGTGAGGGAGGATGCGGTTCTGGGGGAGCAGGGGTGCTATTTAGGCTGCTCAGGAGGGGACATTGCAGCAGAAAACTTAAGGGGACACAAAACAACTCAGTGACCAAGACAAAAATATTCCAATGCAATGTTTTTAAAAATCAAGGTTAAAAAACATGAAATGTTTAGATTAAAAACAGAATCAGCAACTGTGCTGAGCCATATTGAAGCCTGAGGCAAAAGGAGAGATCGGTGAGACTGAGCCTGGAATCGATCGGGAGGGAAGTGCTGGTGGATGAGACCAGAGCTGGGACCGTGGCAGTGGAGGGAGGAGGTCAGACTTGGGGTATCATGAAGGTCAAGGAGACAATTTGCTCAAGATTGCACGTAGAGGATGATGCCAGGGTTTACACAGTAGTGCGTCCGCTTGCCATCTGTCTCCCCCACTCCCTGTGAACCCCAACCCCCCCACCCCCACCCCCACCCCCACCCCCACCCCCTGAGCCGGAGCTGCGTTCCCCCAGCTACAGCCAGCACCTAGGTCCTTAGGGGCTCGGGATGCGGTGTTACGCTCTACAGCCACCAGGGGTCAGCAGAGCGCCGCCCTGCCCAGCCCTTGGGCCGCCGGGGAAGTGCTGGGAGCCGGGTTGGTGGGGTTTTTAGGGATGGGGAACAGGAAAGCAAGATTAGAAGAAGCCGCCAGGACTGGGGAAGAGGCAGGTTCTGAGAAATGAGGTTGGAAGAGTCCCGGGAGCAGGCTAAGAAGCAAGGAGATGTCCATCCATTTATCCATTTATTCATTCAGTCACAGAAGGTCAGGGGCCAAGCCACCTAGCGCTTTATAGGGCACTGGGGAGCCATCGGGGCGGTTAGAGCCAGGGAGAGACAGTCAGATTTGCAGGAGCTGAGAGGAGGGAGAAGAAAGTGGGGATGAAGAGATACAGGCCCACCCGGCCCAGTGGATCAACATCGACCCATGAACTAGCAGGTCACCTGCCCAGGTTGGGGCTCGATCCCCAGTAGGGGGTGTGCAGGAGGCAGCCAATGAATGATTCTCTCTCATTATGAATGTTTCTCTTCCTCTCCCTCTCCCTCTCTGAAATCTTTTCTTTTTAAAAATATTTTTATTGATTTCAGAGAAAATGGAAGAGGGAGAGAGAGAGAGAAACATCAATGATGAGAGAGAATCATTGATCAGCTGCCTTCTGCACACCCCACAACCTGGGCATGTGCCCTGAGGGGAATCGAGTCTGGGACCCTTCAGTCCGCAGGCCACTCTATCCACTGAGTCATACCGGCTAGGGCTCTGCCTCCGTTTTACATGGCCTTCTCTATTGCCCAGTAAATTTCTCCTCTGTCTTCTCTTCTGTCTCGCTCTCTTTTTTTTAAGTTTTTCTTTTTTTATATTTTTATTGATTTTAGAGAGGAAGGGAGAGGAAAAGAGAGATAGAAACATCAATGATGAGAGGGAATCATCAATTGGCTGTCTCCTGCATGCCCCATACTGGGGATCGAGCCCGCAACCCGTGCATGTGCCCTTGACCAGAATCGAACCTGGGGCCCTTGAGTCCACAGGCCAACACTCAATTCCACTGAGCCAAACGGGCCAGGGCCTGTCTCTCTCTTTTTAAGTGATTGATGAGACAGACAGAGAGCCAGAGATCAATTTGTTGTTCCACTTATTTGTGTATTCATTGGTTGATTCTTGCATCAACCTGGGATCAAACCCACAACCTTGGTGCATCAGGACGATGCTCTAACCAGCTGAGCTCCCAGCCAGGGCGCTTCTGTCTCTCATAAGAACACTTGTCTCCGGAGTTAGGGCCCATCCGGGTAACCCAGGATGATCTCGTCTCGAGATCCTTCATTTAACTCCATCTGCAAAGACCCTTTTCCAAAGGTCACATTCCCAGAGTTAGGACGTGGGTATATCTTTTGGAGGCCACTGCTCAACCCCCACCACTCTTCTCTGCGGCCCTATTATCATCACTGCTGTCATTAGTACTATTCTTATTACCTCCACGGGCAGCTGGGCGGGGGGGGGGGGGGGGGGCCGTGGAAAAAGCGCCCCCAGTGGGAGGAGTCTGCAGACTGTCCAGCGAAGGCAGGAGGGGGCGGAAGCGGTGAGCAGCTCCTCCTGGCCTCACCTTCCCAGCCAGTGTTCGCCCTCCTCCCTCCTGGGGGGGGGGGGGGGGGTGGACTCGGCAGGGCCCTGGCGTTCCCTTTCTCTGGAAGAGCAGCCCTTGGGTTGGGAGAGGCAGGGGGCCCAGCGTCCTGAGGCCCCACAAGTCCCTCCTGAACCCACAAGGCCTCACAGTCCCTGACTCAGCCATCTCTGCAGCTGGTGGCCTGGGCCGGGGTCAAGGTGACAGCAGAGTGACCAGGGGAGTGGACTGGCTTGTTTGCTGCTCGATACCAATGTTAGTGTCCCACCCGGCACACGTGTGGGCAGAGGCCGGCCGGATGGTGCCTACGCTGAGCCGCGCCCTGTGCTGTACGTCTTCTTCCGGCCCCTGTGGGCAGGTGACAGGTCGGCCCTGGTCCTCTATGAGGTTCGAGTTCTCCCTGACACCTTGGGTGGCCTAAAGGGGAGATGGAGTGAGCAGCAGGAGGGGTGGGGCTGGGGTCGGGCAGAAGCTGGCACCGGGGACCACACCCAGGTGTCGAGTGACACTTAGGTGCGGGGGGCCTATTGAGTGGGGGATGGGTTCTGTTTTTCTCTTATGACCCCAACTCCTTTACTCTTCCCAGTTCCCCGGTAATTGCCGCGCTCGGCCAGCCTCCCACAGTCGCACCTGCACGTGCGCGCACACACCTGCTTGCTTGCTTTCTCCAGCACCTGGCTCCACCTGACACATCTTTTTTCTTGTTGTGTCTATTGTCTGACACCCCCACTGGCATGCCAGCTCGAGTGACGGGAGTCTCTGCCTGCCTTGTACCTGCTGGATCTCTAGAGCCTCTGGCACACAGTAGGTGCTCAATAAATGTTGTTGGCTACATGGATGAAAACAGGACAACTCTGGGGCCAAACTGGGTGGCCCAGGTCTCCAGTGACCCCTCACCGTCCATTTAGTGCTGTAGGTAAAGCTTCACTCTCAGAACTGATGCTGAGCCTGACCTCTCAAGCAATGCATTCCTGGGGTGCTGCACCCCAGTAACACCCCGGGGCGAAGGGAGACATCACCCTGACAGCTTGGCTCTCAGAACCCTGGCCTTGAAGCAGGCCTGCCCCTGGGACCCTCGCTTCACTAAGCGCAGGAGTGAAAGCAGGAGGGATTCAGATCAGACGCGCTGTAGGACTTCCTGGGCAGCGAGTCTGTCTGTCGCAGGAGGCTCCCGGAGGAGACAGCTCTGAGGCGCTTCGCCTGCTACTGGGACAAATACTCCCTTGGGAGCTCAGACGGGACACCTGCTCGCCTAACGTTCCTGCCTCGTCTCATTGAAGGGCTTTTTACAGATGACAGTGAGGCACAGAGAGGACGGAAGCGGCCCAAACTCACACAAGTGGGGCCGGAATTAGAATGTCAGCCGGCTGAGTCACCTCCTTAAGACTATGCTCTCCACCTCCCAATAGGGAAGAATGAAATGTGTAAATAGAAGTCATTAGAATCTCCCAAACACACACACACACACACACACGCACACACACACTCACATACACACACACACACGCACACACACACTCACATACACACACACATACACACACACACTCACATACACACACACATACACACACACTCACACACACATACACACACACACTCACATACACACACACATACACACACACACTCACATACACACACTCACATACACACACACATACACACACACTCACATACACACACACTCACACACACACACATACACACACTCACACACACACATACACACACACATACACACACTCACATATACACACACTCACATATACACACACACATACACACACACTCACATACACACACACTCACATACACACACACACGCACGCACGCACGCACACACACGCTCTCGGTGCCTACCAAAATCCTTGACCCTCTCCTTGATTTCCCCTGGTGACAGGGAGCTCACTACCTACCGAGGGCACATAATGTCATTCCCATCCCTTCCACCCGGGCTGCTCTGGAAGTAGTGGGGTATCAGAGCTTTAACGGGAAATGTCTCCAAGGCAGGGGAAGGGCCAGATAGCTGAGTGCAGCAGAGAGGTTGGGGAGCCAGGCCAGGGCAGGAGGGGTTGGATCTGCGACCATGGCTGTCTCTGCTACCACACTCTCAGCTCCCCTAACAGCTCCCTCCCTCCGCTGCCCCTTCAGACCCTGAATGATAACTGCTCACTGCTTTGCCTGCCCGGTGCTGCACCAGCCCTCCGGGACTCCCCAAACTTTTGGCAAGAGGTTTTTGCTTGTTTAATGTTTTTACTGATTTGAGAGAGAGAAATATTGATGGGTTTCTTCCTGCACGTCCCCTACTTGGAATTGAGCCTGAAACCTGGGCATGTGCCCTGACCCAGAATCGAACCAGCGACCTCTGGGTGCCTGGGCGATGCTCAACCAACTGAGCCGCACCGGCCAGGGCTGTGGGTTCTTATGACAGGCTCCTGGGTGCCCAGCTGGAGGGCCCCAATCTCTTCCCACCTGCACCATCAGGGGGCGCAGACATCACAGGGCAGCCCCCCACCCCCCAGATGGGAACCTGAGACCCCAAATGACGTGTGTGTGAGTTTGTCAGGGATTTTGCCTGGGTCTCTAGGTAAGAGGGTTTGCATCCGCGCCCTTGAGGACGTACGTGTCTTTGGATGTATAGACGTTTGATCTAGCATATTTAATGCCCAGCTCTATTTTCAGCATTTAGTGGCTTAACAGTGGATCTCAAACTTTTTTTTTTTTATCTCAGGACTTTTTTTTTTATTCTTAGAGAAGACCAAAGAACTTTTTGTGTTTTGTAAGCCATATCAGAAATTAAAACAGAATTTTAAAGATAACGCTCACTTTAAATAACAATAATAAACATCGTTACAGGTTAACACGGATTCAGTCTGTTTCGATATCACCTGCCACGCGGCTTCTGGAGAACTCCACGCACACGCCTGGGGAATGAGGTGCCAAGGGCAGAAAACATCCCAGCGTGAGACTGTGACCGAGCAGACCCCCCGCCCCCCAGAGGGCCTGGGAACCGGGGCCAGTAATGAGGTGAACCATCCACCCGCGGGCTGCAGGGGAAGCGGTGCCAGGGGCAGGGACAGCCCCTGGAGCTGGAATCCCTACCCTGACCCTAACCCGTCTCTCTGGGGGGAAACAGGGAACAATCATTGGCTGACAGGCCATCACCATCCGGCTAGCGGCCTCTCCAGGCCTCCGTGTCCCTGGCTGTAAGGTGGGCTCAGGAACAGAGCCCAGCTCAGAGCCTGGCCGTGGAGAAAGGATTAGCAGAACACAAGCGCTCGCTCCCAAGTCAACTCGGGTTACCGTGAGCGCGATTAAGGGGGATCCCATCAGCCAGGGCTCGAGGTGCGTGCCCCATCTGCCCGGCGGGGGAAAGGCCTTGCTCAGGGCGAGCCCCTGCCTTCCTGCCTCTCCTAAGACTCCCGCCCCATTGTATTCGTTGCACTGGGGTCTCCTGGGAGCGTTTAAGTGCCTGGAGCCCCGAGCCAGGCTGCTGAAGGGGCGTGGGAGGGAAGGACGTGGACTCTCCTACCCGAGTGGAGAGGGCCCGCCTCGAACCCGAGTTCCCACTTACGATCCAATGCGGAGCTCGGATTTGGGGGTTCCCATCCCGCGGCGGGGGTGGGTGGTAGAGAGGCGACCCCAGGATCCTGACCTCTGACGTCCCTCTGTGTCCCAGTCCTGGTCCCTGAGAGGCCCGGTGCCAAGCCTGGCCCTAGAAGAGGAGGGTGGGCTGGGGTGCCGGGGTGCTGACCCCCTGAAGTTCCCTCCTGGGAAATGAGGGTCTCAAAGGCCTGGGTGTGCGTCCTGGAGGGGGCACTGACGCCTGGGTCTCCACCCCTGCAGGGGGCTCGGGTGCAGGTGCCCGCCTTGTCAGAGGAGGTTGCTGGGGCCCCGGGTTCGCCTGGGGGGGGCTCGGGCGCTAGCTCCTCCCGTGGAGTCTATAGATGCTCCCGGACTACGGTGTTCCAACCCACTGACTCGGGGTTCTCGTTCAGGTGGGAGGGGGCCGAACCCCC